ATGAGGTATATTAAGTGTTTGGGTGGTTAAAACTCAATATGCACGAGTGGATTTGGAGATGGCCGTGTAAGGTTCAAAACTGTCAAGCTATGGCAGATTTTCAGTTGCAAAGTGTTTGGGAGTGTTTATGAGTCTTAACCTTCGTATGTTATGTTGCAATACACTTGTGTATATGTATGGAAAAGGTTAGAGATCAACTCCACTCCAGGTTTCTGAGTTATAGCCTTTTGGCTCTATAACTTGCTTTTGAAGAAAAGTGAGGAGACAAGTCTCTATGTGTTTGTACAAGCATGATCTGAGTTGGTAGAGGCCTTAGACAAGTTGCTTTTGGTTTTGACTTTGCTTGTGTGCAGAGAAAAAAATTAAGAGGCTCAAGAAGTTGAAAATTGTAAAAGTAATGCTTTATCAAAATGGAAATGACAACTTTATGCCAAAAATGGAATTATAACTTGGATAAAGGCTCAAGTGTTTGGATTAAAGCTCTAGCAGTTGAGTAAACATTTAATTATGGAGTGATAAACAAGTTTGAGGCCTGCAAAGCAAAGATTATGCAGTCTAGGCTTGGATTTAAATTTTTGTTCATTATGAAATGGCGTGAAATCATAGTGATAAATCACCAACTTCATCTCTTCGATTCTCCCTACTCAGGAATGATCTCAAGGATTTCTTGGACATTTTGGAAATCTTGCAATGTGCTATACAACTCATCTTTGAATTGATTTTGAAAATTTCCTTTGGAACTATGTGAAAAATTGCCATATAGTTAGGTCAAAAATCTGCCTAACTAGGGCAAAATTTCACTAAGTTATTTTAGTTCATGAGCATGTATTCATACAATTATATCTTGAGATCCAAGCATTTTTAGGAGAAATTGTGTGAAGAAAAGTTTTATATTTCATGGAGATCTACAAATTTCATGTTGGAAGTTTCCTCTGAATCATCTTGCATCATGGTGAAAATTTGGCTCAAAGTTGAGAAAAAATAAGAAATTTTCTATACTTAGAAAAATTTCTAAGTTAAGAAATTTCAACTTTTCAAAACAAAATCTTAAATCCTTGATTTCTTGATGGACAAGTTTCACATTTTTACATGTTTTGATGAATTATGATCTTTGGCACTTGAACTTGACCAAAAAGTCAAAGTTTGACTTTTCAGTATACAATTGACTTTTGATCAGTTGACTGAAAAATTCATCTGCCAATCCAATGGATTTGTAATGTTTTTAACCATGTCATTAGGTCAAGATGATGCAATTAAACTCTTGAAATAATTCTTCAAACCAATTGATCATTTTCTAGGTCAAAAATCAGAAATTGCCCCTTCTCAGTCAAAACCCTAATTTTGACCATTTTGCCCTTTTAATGATTTGATCAAATTTCTTGAGGAATTGTGGTCCAAACTTGATCAAATGATACATGTGAGTCTAATATGTTGATGTGGATAAAAAATTATGAAGTTTGACTGTAAATTGGCCATGGTTGACTTTTTCCCCAATACAGTTGATTTTTAGGTCAACTGTTCAATTGACTGATCAAAAGTGTGATTCAAGATTTGAAACTTGACATGAGTAATATTAGGGGTCCATAATGATTCTTGAAAGTCATATGAAGCATTGATAGTCCAAAAATCCCTGTGCAAACTCAAACCCTAATTTTGGTCATCAATGCATGAGGAGATGTCTTAAGCTGGTCAAACCCTAATCCAGTCTTGAGTCAAAGAGATCTTGTGAGGAAATTCTTGATAAGTGAGAGGGGAAATTTTTGGGGACAACAAAGGTGTTAGCACCCTTTTCATCCGTAGTTATCTACGGTCTCTTAATCACTAGCTCACTTTTGAAAATTTACTTTTTGTGTAAGTGTTTTGAAAAATATTTTGAAAACTCCAATGTAAGGAAGACTTTATAATGATTCTTGTATCAGTCCTTAAGAATGTGTACAAAGTGTTTGTTTTAAAATATTTCGTTTTTAAAGTGTGATGTGGAAATGTTTTGTTTTGAAAAATTTGTGAGCAAGCGATTAATAGTATTCTACTCACTCAAGGTTGTTCTTTTTATTTTCCTCCTCCTTTTAGAGATAGTGCTATCCGTATCATTAGTTGGTAGGTAGCCCCATCTTTTGGATGTGAAGGGACAGGCGCGAGTCATCGTACATTCATAAAGGCAACTCGTAGGGCACTTTAGCAATTTTATCGTAAGGGACTAATATCGTTTACCGAAGGCAGCATCGAAGGGTCATCGAGGGACTACGATCTTTTGTATCGGAGGGGCTTTACTAAAGCGTCCCCACGTTTGAGGGACATGACTGATTACTCGAAGGCAACAAGTGGGGTTACCCTAGAGGTGATTGTGTGAATAGTGGTTCAATTCAGTTATTTAATCTCATGATTAGGGTTTTCTAGATTTTTTTTAGTCTTGCCATACAAACCCTGATTACTAGCAGTAATAAGGAAAGCAGTAAAAACAGAAAATAAAGGTGCAAAAAGTAAACCTAAACTATTACAAAGTTTCGGGGAAGGGGATACAAAACCATAAAATAGGGAAAAAGAAAGCAAGTAAAACGCTAGTTAAACTATTACATACTGTAGAAGATACATAATCGGTAAAAATACTAAATGCAAAAATGATAAAAGTACGTGAAAATCGTAAAATAAGAGGAAAATTGTTTGACAAAAAAAACTTGATGATTAACCTAAAGTCTAATTGATTTTAATTTAGAAAAAGTTAGGTAATTAAACTAATCGAAACTAATTATCCTAATTAATTTAATAAATAAATAAAATCAAAATTAATTTATGAGAAAGAAACTAAACCTAATTTGTTTTAATTTTGATTAAAAAATAATTAAGGTTATTAAAAAGAAATTAGGGTTAGGGTAAAAGAGAAAATGATGTTAGTAAATAAAAATAGAGAAAAATAATGCTGGAGATGAGTGTTGAACTCATGCCTCCCAATACCTTCATACAACATGCCTACCACCAGGTCAAGCGCACACTTGTGTCCAGGATACGCCTCCAACACGCTTTGTAATCAATCTACAAAAATATGAGAAATTAAAGTAACAAAATGTCAAAAGGCTGGATCGAACCCAGGCCCTTTGAGACTAATGCTTTATCACGCGCGCTTCTGCCACTGGGGTGGCTGTTTCATCTGTTCATATAATTGATCAAAATAAATATAATATAAAACAACTCAGAGGGATTGGAGAAGCATCGGAGTCCTAGCTCCGGTCGTCTTCTCCGGTGGGCATGTTTCCACATCCTGCAAAATAAAGCATATTCATGATTAAAGAGGACCCTAACCCCCTAAATCGAGGGTCCTGAATATAATGGCAAGGTTATTTTGATTTAAAAGTCCATGGTTTGGCCTCTATAGCACAAATGATACTGATCAGAGTAAAACATGGTATTTTGCAAACTAGCATGCATGATACCTCTGCGATTGTTCTATTCTGCATTATTAGACCTCATAAACACATAGCAAACATTAGTACAAATTAGAATGCAGTTAAACAAAAAGTATAAAAATTCAAATATGGATGAAATCATGATGTTTGCGTGAGTGTTTTCTGGCCGTTTGGATCATTACAAATGATCCAGTCTTACCCTGGGAGTGAATGTAATTTATTGGAATCATGAGCTTGTAGTGAAAGGTAGTGAAATAAGGGTCTGAAATGTTTAGGGTTCTTGAAAGATTTGGAAATTTGGACAAGTTTGAGAGGCAAGGATTTCGTGTTGTTGCAACTGGTTTTTAAATTAGAGTCGCCACCCTTAATTTTTATCCGAAAGGAAAGGAGTATAAAGGAATAACCCTAAAAGAAATTCAGAGATTCTAAGTTTGACTCGGTTCTAGACTAGGGGAAGGTGTTAGGCACCCCTTGTCTACCTTGTTCACAAGGATACTAGGGTTAGAAGCATTATTTTTAAGAAATAGGGTAATTATTATTAATAAGGGAAAAGGGTTTGAATTTTAGTTAGGGGGACTCACCACGATTTTGATCGGATGCCTACGTATCCTCCTAGGAGGAATCAGAGTCCTATTTCGTAGTTCGCGGGGTTGGTTGTATTTTTTATGGAATGCAAAATATATTTGAATCTCCCGCTTACGTAGTCTAAGAGTGTGAATAGTAGAGTTTGTTAGACCAAGTACGCAGTTGATTTAAATATGTTTGTATTACTTTTCGAAAAAATAATCGTTCGAATTAATTTAATTTGCGAAAAAAAGATTTGACGTTTGATTGAATATTTTTTTAGACGTACAGCGAGAGAGTCTGATATAGTCTCCTCATCACATGGTCGGATATTAGGCATGTGTTGCTTGCGGATATAGTAATTTAGTGAATCGCGCGGGTTTTAATATTTTGATGTAAAATATTAAATTAATTTAATAAATAAATAAAAAGTTTAGATTATCTTTTTCTTAACAGTTTAACTTAACTAATTAAAAAAACCTAATGAATCTAGATTAATTAAAACTAGCTAAAAAGTTAAGTCCTTGTAAAAGGAAGTAAACTAATTAAATAACAATTTTGCATTTTTGACATTTTTAGTATGATAATTAAAGTCTAACAAAACAAGTTAACCAAGGGGGTGTCTATATAACATGTGGGAGTGATGATAGAAAATTGATTAGGCCCAATAGTCCAAAATAAAACTCTAACTAAAATTACATAAGTAAAAGACAAATTTTGAGGAATAAAGTTTGCACAGTAAGGGGCGATCCTTTCCTAATTCAATTGCTCACCTTCATTATTTTATTTATGCAAACAAAATGGTCCACTAAAAATTTCAACAGGTAGCAGTTATATAAAATGAATAAGAAACAAATACATACCTAGTCAAATTAAAGAAATTTCCAATCTCATTTTTTTATCGTGACTCGATATTTTTCTTCTTTTTTCCTAATTCTCCATTCATCTCTTTCACATAACAACAATGATAACCAAAACAATGATAATAATAAAAAACGATGAACCTCGGTGGCGGTATTGCAGAAGAACGTGATTATGAACAGGGAAGTCGGTGTTGGAGATCTGGTCAATGACGCAGATCGGTTTACCAGTGACTGGTATCGGAGTCGGCAAGAAACCGGCAAAATCATGGTTCTGAATTGGAGCACGCTGGGGGAGGTTGCAGGTTGGGTTCCGATCGGAGCCGTACGGACCGCGTGGAGGTTGTGCGAGGTGTTGGAGTCAAATAGCGACTCTACTTTTGTCCTCTGTTCTTCTCTTCTCTGTCAACAAATCTGGAAAAAAAATCAAAACAAAAAAAGAACAATCAACAAGAGTGAACAGAGAAAAACATAATCAATATCGACTAGATTCAATTTTATTTCTTTGTTTTTCCCTTAATCCCCCTTTTTTTTTTTTTGATTTTATAGCTCTTAGGTGTTGTAAATTAGGAAGTAGATAAATTTATCTGTAAATTAGTTTTGGAAACAATGAAATGTGTCTGCAAATTAATTCTTAGAATTGATTGAGTTTTATGTCTTAGGAAATATTTTGAACCTTTTGTATGTAATTTAAGAGCTTTGCAAAAATGTTTTTGTTTCTCTAATTGATTTTTTTCCGCAGGTACAAACATGAGTTTATTACTTACGATTCATACAGCAAAAAAACATGTGTTGCTTGCTTTTTTTTTATTCATACAGAACCTATTAAAAAAATAAACAACAGGTGTTCCTTATTGAATTAGGCCATACGATTAATCCATCGTTTTTTTTATAATAAAAAATCATGAATACAACTTCAAATAATAATAATAATAATTGATTAAAATAATAATAATAATTACTAATGATAATAGCATCAATAGTATTAATAATAATTATAGACTTAAAGTCAGATATTGACTTTAGTTTAATTAATACAATAAAAATAATTTTAACAACATAATTTAATTATATAGCTACAAAAATATTAATATGAACTATAATACTGATTTATTGTACAACAAATAATGATAATAGCAACAAATAATTTTTAAAAAAATGGGCTTCAAACCCTCTTATTGGGCCATAGAATTAATTCAGATTTTGTAAAGCCCGCACACCCATTCTTCTTATAATACACCCCTCTCTTAAACTTGAAACAAATTTTAAGACTTAATGGACCATCAGATATTGATGGTCTATTTTACATCAACACACCCCTTTGACTTTAAATACCCCTATAAAGGTGAAAACTAAATAATAAAATTCATTTGAAGAAAACCCTAGATTAGGGTAGGGCAAATTTGGGGTATGACAGGTGTCTATGTTGTTCTCTCTCAATGTCTGAATATATAGAGAAACTTAAGGCAAAAACCAATGGGCTTGAACCTTATAGTAAGATATAATTTTATATTATTTATTTTGTATTATTAATGAATTAAATAAAAGATAATAAAAATAATAAAAATAAAACAAGGTCAAAGTGTGTATGAATGAGCTATGAGGTGAATGAAGAGTATAACACACGTTTGGACTTTGTCAATCCCATGTGCTTGCTTGACTGGGCGTATGGTGGACTTTCATTGGGAAGGCCTTAGATCTGGCTTGTTGGTGGCTTAGATGATCAGATTTGAATGGTACACGATGAGTCCTTTTCCATGTGGTACACTGAATTACCCTGAAAATATTGAGAAAATAAAATGCACACGCCTGGGATCGAACCTGGGACGTGTGCATCAAAGACCAGCAGCTTTTTCATCTGTGCTGGCTTGTTTAGTTGTACAAATAATAACAAACAAACATTATATGATAAAACAAAATATTAATTCTTAAAACACGCACAGATTCAAACTGCCCATTCACAGCATGCCACGCCATCGTCTTCTTCGTCGCCTCTGTCGTTTTAGACAAAAGACCTTTACCTACGAACACCAGGCATAGGTAAAACCCTTGTCCATTCCAAAATCATGTACATGTATGATAAATCACAACCAATGGTACCAATCAACTCGTTGCAACCTCACGAGCATCCTGGTACCATTATTAATGGCCAATTGTTCCTGTATGAAAAATCCCTAAAAACTGAGCATGAACCCTAGCCATGGCAACTTGATATACAGTCAACAAAAATGCAATTAATCATAACCATTAGCTTGCAAACATCTCAAGGATGAAAAATATGTCTATTAATCATGCTAAATATGCCAGAATTGATGTATCCGAAATCAAGAAAATATGGAAACTGTATGAACCTTACAGCGTGTTTCAAGGTGTGAGGAAGCTTGCTAGCGGTTGCAACACGGTCCAGGAATGTCCAGTAAACGATTGGGATGGTTAGAATGCCTTGAAGTGGTATGTAATTTGGAAATCAGTTTGCAACTTTTCTTGAATTTTTTGAAACTTGTTTTCTCTCTTGCACGCCTCCAACCCCCTGTTTTTTGGTCTGCACTTGTCCCTTATGTATCCAAGAATGAATTAGGGTTGCCATTTGTTTCAAATCTTCTCCAATTATGATTATTGATGCATGATTTGATCCTTGTGCAAAATCTTTCTAAATCAAGCAAAATGCAATCTTTTTGTATCCATATGAGCCTTGCACGATTTGATCTTGTTTCCAGTTGTGTATTGGACCTAATCATGCACAAAATCTCAAGATTTAATTAGTTTTTGATATTTTCATTATTTTATTTTGATTTTATTTGATTTAAATGAAATAAAAATCAAAATAAATAGCAAAAATAAAATAATGACAAGTGGAAGAGCTCATGGGTCGTGGGTCACATTACAAAATCAGTGCAAGCATAAAAAGTTGGGCCCATTTAGCAAAAAATGCAATTTTGGACACTTTTGACTTTTGGCAACTTTGCAAAAAGGGTCAACTTTGCCAATGTATAACTCTCTCAATTTTGATCCTAGAGATGTGTTCTTGGACTTTTAGAAAGCTTAAGATGTCCTCTAAGCAACTCTTTTGGTCTCATCTCAATTGAGTCTTCCATTTTCATGTATGAAGCTTTGATCCAAAAGGTGTTTTTGTTGACTTTTCAAAATGACCTATAATATCCAAATTCATATCTTCTTGTGAGTGCATATTTTGAACTTGGGAGATGAAGATTAATTGTGTGGAATTACATCCTCTTCAAAATGAGTTTTGGATGGGTCATTTTTGATAAAGTATGAGGAAGTTATGCCTGGTCAAAGTTGAGTTGACTTTTCCTACAAAACCCTAATTTAGCAACTTTTGGGTTTTGATGAATTGTGAGAAATCCTTGAGGAATCATGATCAACCATTGATCAAATGATGAATAATACTTCAAAATGAAGATGTTGACCAAAAATCTTGAAGTTTGACTGTATGTGGGCCACAGTTGACTTTTGCCCTAGCACAGTCGATTTTCAGGCCTTTGAGCAATGGACTGAGCAAACTTCCTCTGCAAGGCTTGAAACTTGACATGGATGTTCTTGAGAACATATTAGGGCAATGGTGAGCATTTGGTACCCTTTGGATTCAAACATATTGATGGAACATGAAACCCTAATTTGAGGTAGACTGCCTTAGGAGAGAGTTTGTTTGGTCAACCCTTGGACTTCCTTGAGCAATTTGAGGACCTCACTTGACATGTATTGAGAAATATGGGAGGGAAAATTTTGGGATACAACAGGCATTGATATGATTGAGGAAATCAAGCCAACAGCCTCTAATGGACACCGCTTCATCTTAGTGGCCATTGACTATTTTACCAAGTGGGTGGAGGCAGCTTCTTTCGCTTCCGTTACCAAGAACGTTGTCGCCCAGTTCACCAAGCAGAATCTCATTTGTCATTACGGTATCCTGGAGAGGATCATTACAGACAATGGTACGAACTTAAACAATACTATGATCACGCCTTGTGCGAGCAATTCAAGATCCAACATCACAATTCTTCCCCTTATCGGCTGAAGATGAATGGTGTTGTCAAAGCCGCGAATAAGAACATTAAAAAGATCATAACGAAAATGGCAGTCACATACAAAGACTAGCATGAGATGCTACCATTCGCTCTCTATGGTTATCGTACCATGGTACGCACATCAACCGGGGCAACACCTTGCTCTTTGGTCTACAGCATGGAGGTTGTTTTTCCTATTGAGGTCCAGATCCCCTCTCTAAGAATTATGAAGGATGCAAGGTTGAGTGAAGAAGATTGGATCCAGACTCGACTTGATCAACTGAACTTAATTGATGAGAAAAGGCTTACTTCTGTTTTCCATGGTCAAATGTATCAAAAACGGATGATCAAGGCTTTCAACAAAAAGGTCAGACGCCAAGTGTATCAAGTTGGAGATTTGGTGATCAAACGTATCATACTACCGCAAGGTGATCCCCGGGGCAAATGGACTCCTACATACGAAGGACCATTTGTAATAAAAAACATATTCTCTGGTGGAGCAATGATCTTAACCACCATGGATGGCGACGACCTGCCGCACCCTGCGAATGCAGAAATAGTCAAAAGATACTACGCATAAGAGACCCGCTAGATTGACACACCTAGGCAAAACAAGGGTATCCCGGCGAATAAAAAAGGTTCGGGAAAAAATTAGGGATAAAACAAAAAAAATCTGTACACCCGGCAAGTCGAAAACCCGAAAGGGCGACTTAGGCAAAAAAGGGTATCCCGTTTGACTGAAAACCTGAAAGGGCGGTCCAGGAAAAATTTAAGGAATTAAAAGCGTATGATTATGTCCCGTTGATCACCTTACGAACAACCTGCAAACTCGACAGTTCTAATCAATTCAATCAGCTTCGGACAAGGCAACAAATAGACAAGACATTTAGAGGCACGAAGGCTATAGCAGAATGGGAACCCCATGGGATTATTGCACATAGATATCTTTTCTTTGTATCAAATTTCATTTTTTACGACGGCGTTCTCTTACTAGAATGTTTGTCTCCTTGTACAAAAATACTTACTCAAAGTCAATACAAAGATATCTCTTTGAAAGTGCAAAACTATCTGTTTTTCTTTACTCTTGTTTTGTTTACAAAAATGTCCAATGATTTATTTTTGAACATATGCATTTGGACATAACTACTGTTTACAAATAAACAAAATAGAAAGACAGTCACTGATGGCTTTAAGAGGTAGGGAAATCTCTCTAAGCTATCTCCATGAAATCCCCCACAGTGTGCAGTTTAATCCCCAACGGAATAAAACTTCCAGTTATCAATCCTCAGTAGAAGTCGTCCAATTTCTCAGGTTTCCCCAACAGGTTCTTACAAGCAGCACACATCATTTCCCTTACATCAGAGTTTATTTCTCTAAACGGAAATTCATCAACACTTTAACTTCACAACATGAATATTTACACCACACATCCTCTGCAGCAGTCAGGGAT